GCACCAGGGTGGGGGTGGGGCATAAACTACTTATAAAGTAGATTAATCAGCCTTCTAGGAATTACAGAAACTTCACCTTCTCAAGCTTCTCTATGAAAGAAAACCAACTCAGGCTGCCCTGCGAGAGACTGGACAGGAGAGAGAGGGGGTGATTTTATTAGTTCATGCAACTGAGAAACCCAAGAGCAAAGGCTGCAGGAGCTGGATCCATGCTCCCCAAAGATGACACCAACGCTCTGATGCTCTCCTTCCCCAGCTGCGGTGGCTGGTGTCACCCTCAGGCGTCACCCTCAGCACGCTCACCCTATGCAGACATCTTCAGCATCTCTCAGCTCACAGCCTACTGGCTTTGTGACTCCCACCCACAGCCCACCCTGACTCAATAGCTCCAGAAAAGGCCTAGAAATGAGTCTCCTGACTTGGCCCTTTTTCCTAAGGCTAGGAGAATGGAATACGTCAGTCAGGGGCATGCTCACTGGAGTCTCCAACCACATGAACAGAATGAGGTTCTCCAAAGAAAGCAAGGCTTTCTTTCTTTTTTTCCTTGGGTGGGGGGATAGGTTCAGTATGTAGCCCTGGAACTCTCTATGTAGACTAGGATAGCTTTGAACTCACAGAGATCTGCCTGCCTCTGCCTCCCAAGTGCCGGGACTAAAGGCGTGTGCCACCATGTCTGGCTTGAAAGCAAGACTTCCACTAGAAGGAAAAACGGCGGTTGATCATGTCACTGCCTTTAGACCCAGACATTGATGTACTCTATACAGACAGTTTTTAAACAGGATCTCATCATTCCATAGTGTATGTGGGGAATATCACTTGGTACTCATAGACATCTTTCTACAGCATTAATATTTATTTATTAATTTGTTGGGGGTTCATGTGTGGTGGATAGAGAACAGCTTGTGGAAGTCGGTTTTCTCTCTCAACCATGAAGGTCCGGCAATGGGACTCTGGTCATCAGGATGGAGGTGAGTACCCTTACCCACTGAGCCATCTTACCAGCCCCCTGGTGTTTGGTTTGGTTGGTTGGTTTTGGGGGGAGGGTCTCACTCTGTAGCCCTGGCTGGCCTAGAGCCCTCCATCCTCCTGCCTCACTTACCCTTCTGCATGTTGGGATTGTAGGCATGTGCCTTCGATAGCATTGGTTTCAATAAATTCAAGAGTGTTTGCTGGTTTTACTGAGTGAATATACGATAACTTATAATGACCGCTCTGCATACATTTTACTATGATATTTTCTGACAGGGTGGAGGAATAAGAAGAGGGGAGCTAGACAAAATGCCCCAGAGAGCAACCAAACATTTATCTGTGACTCTGTGGTTGAATCAATATTTTTTTTTTCTGAGACAGGGTCTCTCACATAGCCCAGATTGTCCTCAAATTCACAACGTAGCTGAGGCTGGCCATGAACTCCTGATCCTCCTGCAGAATCTGCCTCAAGCATGCTGGGATGTGTGTTTTGCTTGCATGTATGTCTGTATACCACATGCATTCTTGGTGCTCACAGAGGCCAGAATAAGGTGTAGGATCTCCTGGAACTGGAGTCACAGGTGACTGTGAGAGGCCACATGGGTGTGGGAATCAAACCAGAGTTTTTTGCAAGCACAGCAGGTGCACCAGGCATTTCTCCAGCCCCGGGAGCCTTACTTCTGCGGAGGAAAATAACTAATCACCAGAGCAGAACCCCATTGCCTGGCTTATTAAAGTAAGAGTGTGCTTAATGACTATAACTGTAGTAGAGTTCTCACAAGGCCTCTCACTCAGTCGCCACAGTTCTGATTGCTGTTTTACCCCAGAGTCTACAAGAAACCAGACACCACCTACTATTAACAGAGAGCAATGTGATGTGATGTAATATACAGGCTGGCTACCCGGAGTATTTGAGTTCTGTGCCCAGAAGGCAGGGCATGATGGTACACGCCTTTAATCCCAGCACTCAGGAAGCTGACTCAGACAGATATTTGTGAGTTCCAGGACAGCCTGGTCTACACAGTGAGTTCTGGACCAGCCAGGACTAAATACTGAGACCTTGTCTTAAAATTTAAAAAAAAAATCAAGAAGGGCAAGTGTAGACTAAGGGACCACAGGGGTTTGCATCTAAGTCCCGCCATGTCACTTCCTCTTGGCACCTTCCAGACCAACTTCATCCTGTCTCTACTTCTGATCTGAGGTGACACTCTGTTTTATCATGTTTTAAAAGCTATCCTGCTTATCTCAGGGAACTCAAATAAGTTTGTGGTTTGGTTTTGTTTTGTTTTTCTTTTTTTTTCTCGAGACAGGGTTTCTCTGTGTAGCTTTGGAGCCTATCCTGGAACTCGCTTTGTAGACCAGGCTGGCTTTGAACTCACAGAGATCTGCCTGCCTCTGCCTCCAGAGTGCTGGGATTAAAGGCGTGAGCCACTACCACCCAGCGAACTCAAATAAGAACATACAAATTTCTATTTTACTCCCCCTCACCCTGTGTTACACGTCCTCACATGCCTTTCCAGGCACTTAAGGTTTTTAAATAGGTTTCATACTGTTGCATAATATATAGAGGACATCTCTTGCCACCAATGAACATCTTTCTATGGCATTAATTTTATTTTGACTTCATTATTTTGTGTGCATGGGTATTTTGCCTGCATGTGTATCTGTGCACCACATGTATGCAGTGTCCCCTGGAATGTGAGATACAGATGGCTGTGAGCCTCCATGTGGGTGCTGAGAATGGGATCTGGATCTTCTGGAAAAGCATCCAGTGCACTTAACCTCAGAGCCATGGCTCCAACCCCAATCTACCATTAATTTTAATAAATCCCAGGGTTTTATTTTGTTGTGGTTTTTGTTTTGTTTTGTTTTTTACTGAGTGGATTTACCATAAATTATTGACCCAGTCTCCTATTGTTGGAGAGACTAGATTGTTTACAGGTATTATAAATGTTAAGGCATTCTGTGGAATCTTTTAAAAGTGTGGTGAAGGGCCAAGAAGACAGTCGATGGGTGAAAGACTTGCTATGCAAGCCTGCTGACCCAAATTAGATCCAGCAATTTGATGGGAGGACTGTGTCGGGTGGCTTTTCTGTTCCACATGCCACTGCTCAGGGTCATTCACCTGGAGGCTCTGTAGAAAAGTCTTAATAAAATGTTCCACTTGGGCACCTGACCCCTCACACTTATCCACGTAGCTTTTCTCCTTCCACGCGGTTAGCCTGTGGCATTCCTCACCGCAGGAAACTCTGAGACATGGCAACAGCATCCAAGCAGGACAGAAATAGAAGCTGCCGGTGTCTTAAGGCTCCACTTGAGAAGTTATACACTGTTATTTCCGACGCACTGTATCTGTCAAAGCCAGGCTCACTGTCCATCTGAATGCAAATAACAATAAAGAGCCCTTGGCTCTTGATGGGAGGAGAGGTCATCGAACTCAAGGCTGTCTTTTAACCATTATCATAAATAGGATGTGAGCAGAAGGATTATAGGGCTTCTCTGTAATCAGGATGCACAGATCACCTTGCTACCACAGAATACCAAGTCCTGAGTATGGGTGTGGCCATCCAGGAGAGAGGCTTAAACCAGGGTGTGACCAACAACTTTGTCCTCATTTTTGAGGGCTTCACAAATTGCCAGGATTCAAGTAGGAAACAGAATTCCTGGCAGAAGTCAGAGCCTTGGAGCCAACGGTGACACCATCCTGATCCAAGTCACCATCTGCAACACGGAGATAGCCCTGTAGACCCACAGCCCCCTCCCTCCACCTCCCACAGAGCCTCCCCTGCCCTGGCCTCCCCCAGGCACACCCTCTCCTAGTGCAGATTCCCTGCTCCTCAGACGACAGGAGTTTTGAGATCTTTAGGAGGACATTTCTGCTGAAAATTACAGACATTGGCTCTGCAAGGTTGATACGCTTCCTCAGACTGGGATCAGGGATGAAACTGAGTTCCCCTGAAAATGGTTCCTCTCCCGTGTAAGAGCAAATGATATGTTTCCATAAGGGAACCTGGGGGTACAGGGGGCGACTGCTCTCACATCATTGGGCCCTAGAGGTCTGAGTGAACCAGGCCAGGTGGAGGAACGCTGGCCTCCCCATCCCCGGCAGGAAGATAAAGTCAGTTTCTTGCTGATCCCTCCTCCCGTCTGGGAGCTAACCAGGTCATCCATGCACTGAATGAAGCCTAAATTTCATAACTAGGCATGGAGGGCCTGAATCCCCCTTGATTCCTAAAAGATACTATTTCACATAGTAACTAGCTCTGAAGCAAGTTATTTGGGGGTTTTTGTTTTGTTTTGTTTTGTTTTTGAGAGGTATGTGGGTAAATGGGTCACACAATGGGCAAGGATTCAGATTCTCAATAATTCATACACAACCTTGGACCCAGCCATGGGGTCCACTTTTCCCACAGAGCTAGACAGACTGTGGCCTCTTTTAAAGGGGCTTACACTCTGTGTCTTTATTTTCCCTCTAATCAGATCAGTTAGAGGCTGACCAGCTCTTACATGTTTCATTTTTTTTTCCCCATGGCCTCGCCCGAAGCCCCACGCCTACTTGATTTATCCGATTCATATCCGGCTGGTGTTGGTGGGTTGAGACAAACATCTTTGCGGTACTGAAGACGATTACATCTTCCCCTCTTCCCAAGGCCTTGCTGTGAGCACAAGCCAGCGTTTTAAAAGCTGGAGCTGAATAGAGGCTCACTTCCAGCCGAGGAGGACTCCGCCTTGGCCAGCCCTGAGTATTTTCTTCTTATTGTCCCCGGAGCATTGGGAAGGAATCAAGATGTATTTCGTTCAATCAGGATCATTTATAAACAGCAGACGCTCTTTCTGCTCCGGCGCAGCTCACAATACTGGGAATTGCAGCACCTGGCTCGCAGAGCAAAGAGAGCTGTGAAATTCAAGGTCACACACACGGCAAACCTTTCTCTGGAACCTTTTCATGTCATGACCTTTTTGTGACATCGGCGTGCTTAGGAGCCTGTCTTCTAGGTTGTACCAAGTGTCTGGACCAGCTGGGCCAAATGGGGTAGAACTCTGGGCCTCACATCGTCTCCCCCTGTCCCCCCTGCCCCTGCCCCACCTTGACACCTTCAGAGCCTGATGTTAGCAGGTCCTACACACTCACTTCCATTCTATGGCCTCAGAAGGAGAAAGAAACGCTGCTGTGGAGAAAGAGCATCCTTGATAGAAATAGCCCCTCTGAGAGGTACCAGGCTGTTTGAGAAGAATCCTGGCAAGAGGGGAAGTGGGTTGGGGGGGGGAGGGGGATGGAAAAGAAAGGAGAGAGTAGAAGAGAGGAAGGAAGGAGGGGAGGGAAGGGGAGGGGAGAAGACGGGGTGGGGGGAGGGAAGACTCATTCCATTTCTCATACTTTGCCAGCTGTCTCCTGGAGCTGGGCGGACACACCCCACCAAAGCCATTCACATCCTCTCTTTCCTGTGAACCCTGAAAGATCCGTTGACTTCCTTTCCTACTCTGACTTGGCCTTGCCACAACTGACTTCATCCCAGCTTTGTATTTAGGCTTTTGTGACACTGACTCGGTTGTATCTACACACACACACACACACACACACACACACACACACACACACACACACGCACGCATTCACGCGCGTGCGTGTACAGGTAGAGTTTTGCTTTGCGAAGGAAGCTCTCAGTGCCTGAGCACAGCATCAGAATGACGGACAGAAAGAGTAGGAAGAAAATTCCCTCAATAGAACTCGAGTCTGCAGATGGGAACTTTTTTACTTTGAAATAATTTCAGACTTACAGAAAAGCACAAAGTACTTCTCACAGAAAAATGCAAAAAAGTACAAAGAATTCCTGAATATTCATCAGCCCATTTGCTTATCATTTTTCTTCTCTATTTCCTTTTTTTCCCCCTACTGAACCACTTTTGAGGAGGATGCAGACAAGATTCTCCTTTATCCCTAAGCACTTGAGTGTCTATTTCCTCAAATCATGACCATTCTTTTTCTCCACCCCGTATATTCTCCAAATTGTAAAATTAATACTGACCCGATAGTGTTGTGTAAGCTACATACCATTTTAAAATTTCGCCAGTTTTTCCTAGTAACATCCTTTATAGCTAAAGAAGGGGGGGGGCAAAAATGGATCCAGAATCAATCTCAGATCACACGTTGCCGTGGCCACTGGGTCTCTTCAGATCGAATAGTGTTCATCTTTGCCGCTCATGTCGCCGGCCTCTTTGAAGGATGAAAGCCAGTGTTATATATAGACAGCCCCTTATTCGGAACGTGACTGCTGTTCCCTCACAATGAGATCCTGGCCAGACACTGTGGCAGCAATGGCCTGGAAGCATGACATTGTGTCTCGAGAGCACACATCGGGAGACACACGATGCCAGTGCATCCCATTTGTCCCTTGAGATGTGCTCGATCATTTGGTTCAAATAGTGTCTGAAAAAGCTTCTCAACTGGAAAAGTGCTATTTTTTTTCTCTAAAATCAGCAAATGTTTTGTGAGGAGACCCTTCGAGATTGCGTGACTGCCATCTCTCATCAAACTTATACTCACTCTTAACATCCACCAGTAATTCTTTAAGATTTTTGTTTTTATTTGTTTGTGTGTATGCTTCCAAACGTGTGTGCACACATGTGCACATATAACCAATGGGAGTTCTTTGAAGCTGTCTCCTTGTCCAGGAACTTGTCCAGGCAGGGCTATTTGGAGGGAGGATGCTCCAGCACTCTGGTCCAGGACATCTAGAATATACCCCAATGACCAAAGTTTAAACGGTATTCAAGAATCTCATTTGTGTCGTGTACTTGTAACCCTGGCACCCTGCAGACTGAGGCAGGAGGAACATGAATTTAATTCCAGCTTGACCTACAAAGCGAGACCCTGCCCAGCTCATAAAAACAAAATGAAAGAGAACACAAGAATTTCCTTTGCACATTATGGCAACACACACATGCCAGTGAAATTTAGCACTACCGTGAAAGAACAGTGTTTGACTACATTGTTATCATCTTCCCAGACACCAGTCTCACCTCCAATGCTAATAAAACACAACACCCCTTCCAGATCAGTGCCCAAGAAACACACTAGGAAGAAAGGAGACGAGCCAGGAGGTGAGGGACGTGAGGGAAGCAGAGAGGAGACTGAAGGGAGAGAGAGAAAGCTCCCCTCCTCTCCTTTCATGGTCTGCATGTGCAGCTCCTCACATCCCTATTCTGCAGCCGTCTCTGGGAAATCAGTGAGCGTCCGTCCGTGGGAAGAGAGCACAGATGCTCTGTCAGAGGTTAGAAGCAGTCGTCAACTTCATCTCAAGACGGGGTCCGGGAGATGGCCTGGCTGTACGGAAGGAACCGCCACTCTGTCCTGCCGCAGAAACGCCACTAATAGGCACCAAAGGGGAAAGCACAATGTTTGGAGTGTTCCTATCACTTTCATGCGGACTCACGCCACAGGCTGGAAGAGCTTCCGGCAGAATGGAGGGCTGGGGAAAGCCTGTGATAAATCAGCTCTGCCTTTACTAGCCAGAGGTTGCTATGGCAATAGGAATACACTGTAGGTTTTAAGAGATGTAATTTTCTGTGATTCACTGCATATTTTTAGCCATTTTTCTTCCTGTATTATCTCCCTCTGGCAATTGCCTATTAATGCTGCTCTGTGCCATGACTGGACTACATGGTCCATTCTCCAAAGTGTTCCGTAAAAGCCCAGGGGGTCGGTAAGTACAAGAGGGTTATGGCCTGTGGACCTAAGGGTAAGCCGGTAGAACAATCGGATTGGTTCCAGACGCGGGTTAACCAGCTTGGGCCAGGCAGCATCCAAGGACAGGATGACTGGAGAATGAAAGGTTCCAGATATGGAGCACTGGATGGCTTGGAAGGGGGAACTGAGTCATGCTCTTCATTGCAATTGGTATGCTTCAGTGGTGTCAGGGGCAGATCATACAGATCAAAACCAGCATCCTAAGGAAGGCTATCAAACACTTAGTTTCTGAACAGGAATCGTACAAACATTCTAGCCTTTTACTACAGGTCAGACCAAGCCTTATTCTTCTTTTTATTTTTTTCCTCTTCTTCTTTGCTTTAATTTACTTACGACTTTTTGGTAATTTGTTCCGTGGTGCTGGAGATTTAATCCAGGGCTTTGTGTACTCTGTCACTGAGCAATACCCTAGACCATAATTTTACTTATTTTTCTGGACCATAAAAATTAAATGAGGGACTGAGAGGTAAAAACAGAATCAGTCTACTTGGCTATTTGTTAACACGACCATGTATTCAATTGCTTATGGTAGGGTTACATTCTGAGAAAGGTAACACTAGGTGTTTCCTCCTTGTCCAAACGTCACAGAGCATTCACACAAACCTAGATGTGCCAACTACATGCCTAGACTCTACAGTAGAGTCCTAGGTTGCAGACTTATACAGTACAGTACTGCACTAAAAACAGTGGTATCTGTATATCTACACATAAAAAGATGGAGAAACCCAGAATCCTAGTTTGCTTTAGGTTACTGTGATAAAATGCTGACCAAATACAGCCTGGGGAGGAATGGGTTTATTTAGCTCACAGTTTATAGCCTACTAGCAAGGGATGCCAAGGCAGGAACCTAGAGGCCAGAACTGAGCAGACACCTTGGAGGAACATTGCTTTCTGGATTGTTCTGCATGGCTTGCTCACACTGCTTTTTCTATATAGCCCAGGACCACCTTCCTGGGGTGGCGTGTCCTACAGTGGGCTGGGCCGCCCCTCCCCCCATATCAATCATTAATCAAGAAAATGCCACCCCAGACTTGCCCACAGGCCAATCTGATAGAAGCATTTTCTCAACTGAAGTTTCCTCTTTCCAGGTGACCCCAGTCTGTGTCAAGTTGACAGAAACTACCAGCACGCACAGGATAGCTGTGAATGTCATCCAACACAAAATAACAAACTTAAAACATCATTTTTTTGCAAATTTTTACAAAATCAAGTGTACGGTTCTCATACGTGTACTCTGTAAATGACCATGTCACATGGCAATATCAGAAGGCTACACATCCCATGGGGTTAGAGATGCTCACAGGTTAAGAGCACTTGCTGCTCTTGCAGAGGACCTGGGTTCAGTTCCTGGCACCCACATGGTGGCTCATAACTGTCCATAACTCCAGTTCCAGGGGATCCAATGACACCCTCTTATGACCTCTTTGGGAACTGCACACACATGGTACACAGACAGACAGGCAAATCCTTCATATACATAAAACAAATATATCTAAAAGATTTTTAAAGGATGGACAATCTACTAGATAGGAGTTTTTCAGTCCTGTCGTACTTGACAATACAATCCTAGTTAGGGTGACTATTGCTGTAATGAAACAGCATGACCAAAGGTAACCTGGGGAGGAAAGGGTTTATTTGGCTTACACTTCCACATCACTGTTCATCATCAAAGTCAGTCATAACAGGAACTCAAGCATGGTAGGAACCTGGGGACAGGAGCTGATGCAGAGGCCATGGAGGAGTGTTGCTGGCTTGCTCCCCATGGCTTGCTCAGCCTGCTTTCTTATAGAACCCAGGACCACCATCCCAGGGATGGCACCACCCACAATGGGCTGGACCCTCCCACATTGATCACTAATTAAGAAAGTGTAGATGTAACCAACCGTCTTATTAAATAAGAAACACAGAACCAATGTAAAAGAGAAAGCCAAGAGGTCAGAGCTCAGAGCTAAAACCTTACCCTTCCTGTGGTGCTCCTAGCTCTCCGAAAGAGACCTACTTCCTGTGTGTCTGTCTTTAAATAGTCTTTCTGTTCTGCCTTCTCATTGGTTGTAAACCCAAACATATGACTGCCTTGTCACTGCCTGTAAGTACAGCCCTCTAGGTCTTAAAGGCGTATGTCTCCAGTGCTGGCTGTATCCCTGAACACACAGAGACCTATGGGATTAAAGGCGTGTGCCACCACCACCACCACCACCACCACCACCACCACCACCACCACCACCACCACCATGCTCTTTCTATGGCTCTAATAGCTCTGACCCCCAGGCAACTTTATTTATTAATATACAATTAAAATCACATTTCAGTACAAATAGAATACCACCATAAGAAAGTGCCCTGTAGGCTTGTCTCCAGCCCAATCTTACGTGGCATTTTCTCAATTGAAGCTCCTCCCCTCTCATGACTCTAGCCCGTGTCAAGTTGACATAAAACTAGCCAGCACAAAGACCATTTTTGTATATGTGCTTATCACTGATGAATTATTTATTCATCAGCACATGATGGGAGTATTAGGAGTACCTTGAGTCTTTCCATTTCAGGCAACAGAAAACTCAACTTAAGCTCCCAAAGCAGAATGAGAACTTTCCGTAATCAATAAAGAAAAATGCTGTGACTATGGGCCAGTCTTGGTCACAGCTGCAGACAGGAACCAGATGACACCATGGACATCTGGACTCTGTCACATCACTAAGTTCCACTGATGTATTGCCTTTGGGAATATATCAACATAAGTCAGCTAATAGAGGCTTCTATAAGGTACAGTTCGGTTTTCTCACACAGAATGCAGAGATGGCTTTATTTCCACTCATGCAACTAGTAACAGAATAAGAAACCATTCCCAGGCTACAGTTCCAAAGTGTTGTCAAGAACCCACCTACTGTCTTCAGGGTCACAGAAGGATTTCCCCGGCAGCAGCCATTCAAGAGAGAAAGAGGAGGCTAATGCCTCTCATTTTCTTACCACCAAATCCAAATCCCTCCTCCAAGCCCTCATCTGACTTCTGCTTCCAGTTGATTGGCTGCAAGAATACGCTGTGGCGAGGGCTTTCAGGTTTTCTTGGTCCTTTCTGTAGATGTAGCGGGGTTTTTTGTTTTGTTTTGTTTTTAATTTAACATGTTTAATTGAGTATCATGTGAGTACACACATGTCACAGTGTGCCTCTGGAAGTCAGAGGACCACCTGCGGGAGTCAGTTATATCTCCTTCTACTATGTGGGCCCCAGGGACCCAACTCAGCTCATCGGGCTCGGCGGACAGTGCCTCTGTCTGTGAGACCATTTTGCCAGCACTAAACATTTAGATTTATTTTTTTTTTTTTTTGGTTGGGGACTCAACTTAGGTCCTCTGCAAACAGATAAGAAGCAGGCAGAAGCCTTGGCTAAGAGCTATGGCATCCCAGCAGTTTTTGCACTGCGTTTTTTTCCCTCCCTGGGCACAGCATGGGTACCCAAACTGAGCCTTGGGGACCTGAGACCAACACACTCCTAGAGCCTTGTGATGGTCTACGGCTCTTCCAGCCCAAGCCTCTTTCCCTCTCCTCTTCTTTGGTAAGTGTCAGGCCCGCCCTGTTGCCGCCCACCCCTGCTCCCCATCTCTCTACCCCTCCCAGGCACACTGTACAGCTCTTCCTTACACCCATGTCCATCTCGGCATCTGTATCTTAGGTCACACTTTGGATATGCGCTTTAGCACACTCCAGGGACTACACCACTGCTTTATGCTTCTTGAGAATTAAAGACTAAGCAAGGGGGCTGGAGAGGTGGCTCAGCAGTTAAGAGCACTCACTGGCTGTTCTTCCAGAGGTCCTGAGTTCAATTCCCAGCAACCACATGGTGGCTCACAACCATGTGTAATGAGATCTGGCGCCCTCTTCTGGCCTACAGGCATACATGCAGGCAGAACACTATACAGAACAAATAAATCTTAAATTTAAAAGAAGTAAAAAAGAATAAGCAAGAATGAGATATTAATCCGAAATTGGAAGTGAAAGGAAAACTAATACAGGCCAACAAAGAGGCTCCTAGCCCAGGACTCAGAGCAGGGACTCTTTCTCTAAGCGAGTTTCTGTAGAGAACCTTGCTGCCCTTAAAATAGAGAACACCAGGCTGGACAGTGGATGTTGGGGGTGGGGAATGTCTGAAGTTTGTCTGGAGTCACTCCACGGTCTCAACAGATCCTAAGCATTCAAATCCTTCATCCACAAACTTCCAACACAGCTTACACAGGAACTGATTCGTTGGGAAAGAGCAGACTGCTCCTTAATTCAGCTGGAGGGGAATGGACAACTGGACAAAACTCGCTAGCTTTCATAAGGACTTCCAAAGTGCAGCAGGATACTCTCATTGTCCCCAGGGATGGTGTGCCAGGAAATCTCCCCCTTTGCCTCCCCAAGGCTTACACAGTGATGGTTAGCCATGGCCACATTAAGAATATGTCCTAATATAATTTATTTTGGTCCCCATGATCTTTTTTTTAAAATAAAATTTAAAAAGGGGTTATCAGTTTAGATATTTCACATACAAATATAGAATTCTTGCTCTTGAACATAACCAGGGGGCTGGGGAGATGCCTCAGTAAAGGGCTTTGCTGCTCAAGCATGAAGACCCGAGTTCAATCCCCAGAACCCATGTTTAAAAAAAAAAAAAAAAAAAGCCAAGTGTGTGGTAGTGGGCACCCATAAGTCCAGAGCTGGAGGTATGGAGGCAGAAGGATTTCTGAGGCCTATTGGCGAGCCAGCCTAGCTGAATCTGCAAGTCCCAGGCCAGGAAAAGACTTTGTCTCAAAAGGCAAGGTGAATAGCCTGTGAGGCA